TGTCTTCATCATTCCCTTCATTGGGACTGCAGTCACCTTATCAATAAAGAGAATGGGACAAGTTTGACATAATCTGTTTTTAGTCAACATGTACCAACCCTTAGTGACCATCACCTTTGTGTTTTGTTTTCACAACTAATACATTTAATTCTGTGGCCTGCAATTTTGCCAGGGATTATCCACAAGCCTTCAAGTTCTGTGGTTTTATTACCTACTTTTACACCTTTTAGAAAATGCGAGTATTTTTCTCCTGTTACCTGGCATATTTTCTTCTCAATGAGCTATCCAAGTTTATGCATTGGGATTTCATAGTAACATATGCATACTATTTTAGCAACATGGGTCTTTAGACTTGAATTTTAAAGCAACTAAGTATTGTCTTTTTAGATATTTATTTTTCTTGGTGCTCACTGTGCTCTAATTTATCAGGCTTTTCAATATGTATAAGACTTTTTGTACGCAGAGTTTACAGTTAAATGGGGGAGACAGAAATGCTTAGGAAATTGTCATAAAGTGTCATAATCCTGAAGAGGGTTATGGGAGTCTATAGAAGGTGGGGGCAGGTGATTTTGAGCTGATGGTGGTGACATCTGATTAGACTTGCATTTTAGAAAGATGATACTGGCAGTACTTGAGAATTGGGCTTCGCTATAATGTTATGTAGGAGTCACCTGGGAATTGACTAAAATGCAGATTCTGACTCAATATGTCTGGATAGGGGCCTGCAATTCTGCATTTATCACAAGGTCCCAGGTGAGGTTGGTGGAGATGGTCCATGGACCACACTTTGAGGAGAAAGTTTTTAGCAAGTGGAGTAGAGAATGAGAAGAGTAGAGGCAAGGAGTTGCATTGGAATGCTGGTGTAGTGATCCAGGAGGAAAGTGATGATGGGACCAACTAGGATACACTTGTTTCACTCTTTGAAGCCTATAGATTGGTCTCCCTTGTAAAAAATAGGTAAGTAGGTATGCAGTATTTTCCTTTCATCTGTCAATAATTGTGCTGTCTAAGTTACAGAAAGAGGGAGGGAGCTCAATTCCAGTCTTAGTTCTTAATAACTGGCCTCACTGTAAGCTCATCAAGGCCTCAATTGTCTCATCTCTTCTGTAAAATTATAAAGATTGGGTTGTTATGGGTTGAGTTGTGTCTCCCCCAACATTTATATGTTGAAGTCCTAACTCCCAGGACCTTCATAGGGTGACTGCAGATGTAATTAGTTAAGGCGATGTCATGCTAGAGTAGAATGGGCCCCTAATCCAATTGAGTGGTGTCCTTATAAAAAGATGAAATTTGTACACAGACACATATTCCTTGTGAAGCTTAGAGTTATGCTGCTACAAACCAAGGAAATACCAGAAGCATGGAGAGAGACCTAGAAAAGAAAGATCCTTACTGGGCACCTTCAGAGGGAAAGGGAGCATGGCTCTACCAATGCCTTGATTTCAGACTTTTTAGTCTCCAGAACTGTGAGACAATAAATTTCTGTTTGTCTAAGCCACTCAGTTTGTGGTACTGTGATATAGCAGCCCTACCAAATTACACTGACTTGAGAAGGCTAACCCCTATTTTGTAAAACTACTGTTTGGAATTCTCTGCTAATTTTTAGATGGCCTCTTATTCTAAAAAATAATAATAATAATAGTAACTTTGCTTTCTAGCCTGCTTTAGCCTACTTGAATAATAAGGAAAATAAACTTAGCTGTCTGACCTTGTAGGCCAGAGACTAGATATGCCCATACTCTCAATGCCATGCCAGGTGTATTTTTTAATTGGATAGAACTGTGTTGTTTTCAAGGCCACCAGCGAGATAACCACTAAGCACACATAGGGCTGGCTCTTTAATAAAAAGGGAAGTTCTGCTTGTAGCTCTGCTTAGAACTTGAATTCATTTTTCTCTGAGCCCATCAGTGAATAAAGTGTGACTCCAAACTCTCCGAGCATTGCTTGGTTTATTCTGGTTTTATGTAACAGATTTACTAGTATATATTTAAGATAACTTTCAGATGTAACATACTATTCAATCTTCTCCACATATCCTACAGGAAATCTGAACTAAATGTGGTTAAACAGAAAGACTTCTGTTTTTCCATCCATTATTCATTTATGATTTTTCTTTTAAATTCAGATTCTCCTTTTAGAGTCTTCTTTCTTTTTTTTTTTGGTTTTTACTTATGTTTCTTATGTAGATATTTTTTTTTTTACTAATACTAGTAGGCTCAACTGAGTCAATCCAAAGAAAACACCTTCTTGGGCCCCCTGCTAAAAGGTGTAGATGTAGTAGTATGACTAAATGCTTTGAGGACAGATTGTGGGACATGCATGAAATAACAGCAGTGAGTCTGTCCTTACATCAACAATAAGAAGGCTTTTGAGAATTATTTATTTTTGAACCACACTGGAATACCTTAGCAAAGCATTGTCCTAAGTCAGTGATGGTGAACCTTTTGAGCTCGGCGTGTCAGCATTTTGAAAAACCCTAACTTAACTCTGGTGCCATGTCACTTATAGAAATTTTTTGATATTTGCAACCATAGTAAAAGATTTATATTTTTGATATTTATTTTATATATTTAAATGACATTTAACAAAGAAAAATCAACCAAAAAGAAATGAGTTCGTGTGTCACCTCTGACACGCGTGTCATAGGTTCGCCATCACTGTCCTAAGTCATTCCAGCCACAGTAACATCAAGCCCATAGAAAACAAAAATAACTGCCTTAATATAAAAAACAGTTATAGAAAAAACAGAACTATGTCTTTTATTTCACAATTAATATAGCTGATTTAATGTACTTTATTTCCTGGATTCTGAGTTTAAAGAATAAACAGGAAAGCTCTGGACAGTAGCTTAATGGTTAGAGCATTGGCCCAGGGTCATGAGTTTGATTCCTGGTCAGGGGCATGGGTTGCAAGTTCACTCTGCACTCGAGGTCAGGTGAGTGTGGGAGACAACCAGTCCATGTGTCTCTCTCACATTGGCATTTCTCTCTCTCTCACTCGATTGTTCTTGCTTTTGCTCTCTCTTTCTCTCCCCCTCCTCTCCCTCCCTCCCTTTCACTCTCTCTGAAAAGCAATGGAAAAAATATCCTCAGGTGAGGATTAATAAAAATAAAAGAACAAACAGGAAAAATAAAAGGCACCTTCTTATAAGACAAAGGGAATTTTTCCTTATTTAAAAAGACAAGTATCCTTCCCCTAATCACCCATTTAGGAACATATTAGACTCCTGGAAAAAGGAAGGGGGTTGGGATAAAAGAAGCTAAACAAACAACTTAGAGAGGAAGGGAATTAGTAGAGCAGTAATGTTGCTTTCTGGGTAGGAGAACTCAGCAGAGAGTGCAAACTAATCGTATTTACTTTTCTTGACAATAACTGGCATTTAACAGGCGATCTTAGAATAATCACAGTGTCTCAGGTTTCTTCACCTGCAAGACAAAGGTAGTGTGCCTCCTAGGCATAGAGTACAAAATAGATGGAAACATTTCATAGAAAGAGATTTGATGTTTTCATTAACTGTCTTGTATCCAGGGAAAAATTTGCTTCAAGAATAATAGCAGAACAATTTATAAGCATATTGAATATACTGTTAGGCGCCAGAAAGGTGTTTTGCATATTTTTCTCATTGGCTCCTCACAACAACCCTACTAGATAGATGTGTTTTCCCCCACTTGATAGATGTACAATCTGAGGCCAGAGATATTAATTGTTTTCAATGTCAAAAGGTCAGGAAGGCACAAAGCCAAGATTCACTCTCATCTCTCAGCTCCGTAGGGATCCCAACTGATGTGCTGCAAAGCCCACTTCTGGTGCTATGGCAAACATTACTGATCATAGCACTTGCTTTGGAACCTCTTGGGGCTGACAATACTGATGGTGGGGAGGTAAAACCAGTTTGCCCTTCTAAAGCCTATACTCCATAACAGTGGTCCTGATGGTCCCTTCTAAAGCTTATACTGCATAACAGTGGTCCTGATGGTTGCTTCTGAAGCCTATACTCCATTACAGTGGTCCTGATGGTCGCTTCTGAAGCCTATACTCCATTGCAGAGGTCCTGAGAGTTGCTCCTAAACCTAAAGCCTATACTCCATAACAGGGGTCCATCTTCAGAGATTCTGATTATTTAGGTCTTGGATTGGACCTCAAATCTTTATTTTAAAGGACACTCCCGATGATTCTGATGATAGCCAGATTTTGTAGCCATTGCTTTCTGCATCTATGTTTTGTGAGGCCAGATATTTTTTTTCCTGTTTGTCTGGTTGTTTGGTCTGTTGGGTTCTGACACAGAGAAAAGGACTGTGGAAATCATTTTAGGAGGGAAAGGTAATGATTGACTAGATACTGTTTATGGAATGACTATAAGATGAAAGGCAGGTCTAGTACCTTCTTTCTCTCTTGTGAACCACCACAACTCTGGAAGGAAGAGCTGCTCAGACTGTTCTGTGCCACACGTGTAGTTAATTTTAGAGCTATAGGAGTGTGCTCCCTTAAACGTGGCTGTGGTGAGCTTAGAAGGGAAGAAAGACCTCTTAGTTATGCTCTGAGAAGCCCCTGCTTGCAGGAGTATCGGGTAAGAAGAAGAAGTGAAAATCTTACACTTTATAATTTATTTTTAATTCCACTCCTTTAATTCAGGGCAAATTGACTAATGACTTTCTCCCTTACCGCCCCCCCCACAATTACTACATGTGGTAGATTACAAACCTGATGAAGAGAAGCAGCAATACTCCATTAATATTTATAAATGTCTCACTGCTTCTATTTCCCATCTATTTGGAAAATCAGCCCAAGTAATTAAGGAATATGGGGAATTATAAAAATGAAAAATATCAGGAAAACAGTGCTCATAGAAGTTCTCAACGCTATTTTACTTCTACTGTTACTGCTTAATGACTTCATTTTCCATGAATGGCATTGTTAAAATGTAAATTTCTAGATGAAAAACGCATCCAAATTTCATTATGATCTAGGCAAAACAGATATTTTTCAAACAGTAAACTTACATCTTGGGCTTCTCCACAAGGTACCGAAAGTGTTTACTTCCGATGATTTTCACCACAGTCTCAGGCATTGCATCTGATGCCCGGGGAGTCTTCCGCACTGAAGACATGATTCTTCTCAAAATCCCTCAAGCCCCTGGGGGTGGAAAATAAGTAAATCTCTCCTCATGACTTTCCAGTTGGCAACTGTAACATCCTTGCCAATAATAACAATAATTAAAATGGTGGATTAAGTGCTTTAACTATATTATCTCACTTAACACTCCCAAGGAAGACATGAGTAAAATACTCTTAATTACTATTATCATTGTTGCTTTGCAGTTAAGGGAACAGGCATAGTATAGTTATTGTAACTCACTCAATATCACACAACCAGCAATGAACAGAGTTGGGACTCCCACCTAAAAAGTCTCCACAATTGATCTACTGAGCCATTTGGTGACTACCTTCCTTCCTGACACCACAGGGTGGCATTCTGGTGAGGTTAGAGTGGTAGCCAGGACTTCAGTGGGACATATGAATATCACCAGCTCTGATGATGTTTCCCCTTTTATAAAACTTGGATACGGTAATTCCAGTTATATTCTAGGGACTCGGGGTGAATCCGGTGAGATAATATATCTGAAGTAGCACCAACCATAGGAAAGAGGGTGTTTTTGTTTGTTTTTTCCTATGGCTGACCTGCCTTTACAGTAAGCTAATGAGTCTGAAATTGAGATCCTGCACTAGGTAAGCACTGGGAGTTTCAACAGGTCTGATGCCAAGGGAACTTAGTTCTGTAAATCTGGCCCAAGGCTGACGACTCCCTTTAGAACCTCTCAGAGCCTGAAAAGCCTTTAGAAATTATTCTAATCCAAATGCCTACGCGACAGACTAGAAGACCCCAGGCCCAGAGAGGCTGTGTTATTGACCAAGGTTTCACAGGCAGTGAGAACATATCTGTTTCCAGCGTTCTTCCCAAGGCCCCAGCTTCCCTTGGTGTGCGGTCAGCACCAGGACCGCTCGCTCTATATGGGTAGCCCCATCCAGCGGGAACTGCAACCTTTGAAGGGCCAACATTTATGATTGTGGGGTCTCCTCTCTTCCCAGCATCTGCGAGTCAGTCCTGAGCCCTTTCTCAGGAGAGAACAGAGGGGACATTCTTACCGTTTAGGCTGCGTTTCCCCACCAAGGCAGCTCAGGGTGCGGTAGGCACTCTCCCTGTAACTCTGTGGAGGCGGGGAAGCAGGGCGGGTGGCCTGGGGATTGGAGCCCAGGAGTCTGGCCAATCACAGGGCCTGGCTCACGGTCTGAGGCTGCTCCTGCCCAGATCACTAAGGACTCTGAGGGCTGTTGCTGGGCGGGGACAGGTTTCTATCCACCTGGGGGAGGCAGGAGTACTTCTCCACAGGTGCCAGGTTGTGTGGCTGCTGACAGGCTTAGGTATTTTCAAATCCGTGGTTTGGTGCTTCTTCAAGGACCTGTGAGCACCTTCCTTGAAATCCACCTACGTCACCTGTTGTGGTCACATTTATCCCTCTCTTTCCCTTAAGCTTCATTTCCTTTTTTAAAAAAATTTATTTTAGTGTTTAAAGTATTACAAATAGTAGTACATATGTCTCCTTTTCCCCCCTTTTATGATATTTGCACGTAGTTGGAAATCTTACACTTGTCGGTTCAAATCCAAGCTACTCCACTGTATGGCTTTGAATTAATCCACGCTACCCTGAGATTCCGTTTCTTCATTTCTAAAATGAAGAATCAATAACATGGACCTAAAGTTAAGTTGGTGATGAAATTAAATAAGATTGCAAAAAATAAGTTTTGAGTTGTATGGATATGCCAGACCCTTCATTTGAACCAGATAGCTATTACCTTATAAGTTACATTTTCCAATAAAATAATTTTATTTCTATTTTAAAGATTAAGAAAACAGGTCTTAGGGTTTTGAGAAATTTCCTGAGATCCCACAGAGGCAATTGACAGAGCCAAGATTTAATATAGACCTACATTACAAATATCCAGGTACATTTTACTATGCTAAAGACTTCAGCACATGTGGGTAAGGGCACTTTAAATGGACTCCAAAATTATGTTATTTTTTCCATCAGCAGCAGCAGCTTCCCAGCATCCATTCCAGCTGCCTCCTGCCCTCTAGCTGTGCTGTGTTTTGTGGTTTACTGTTTTATCTACTGGCACATGCAGCCAGAAATGCCGGATACAACCTGCTCCCCTCCAGGGCTCACTCTCTGGTGGGCAAGATACACATGCACATTCTATGATATACAAAATGCCATGGCATAGAGGAGAGGGGCCAGCCCCCTTCTCACTCCTCCAGCTCAGCCTTCACTTGGTCACCGTCACCACTCAGACCTCACAAGGCTCAACTCTGAGAGCCCCTTCCTCTAGTTCAGTGTCTCAAAGAGCTCCCATCAGCCTTGGAGATTGCCCATGGTTTCAAAGTCTTTTATGTCCTGTCCTCAACCTTGATCTCCCACTGCTTCTCCCAAGCTTGCTACACATCCCTGTCATTTATTTTATAACTGGAAATTTGTATTTCTTAGTCCCCTTCACCTTTTTACTCACCCCCCCTCACTGCTATCCATCCTTTAAATTTCATCTCAAATGGTCAAGAATATGGGCTCAAATTCTAGCTCTGCTACTTCAATGTGATCTTGGGCAAATCAGTTATCATCTTTGTAGCTTAATTTCCTCTTCTATAAAATGTAGATACCTTTTTTTGTGTGGAGATTAGTTGATTTATATAAGTAAACAATGTCTGACACATAATGAGCAATGCCAGTGTTTGCTATCATTATAATTATCTATCAAGAAGCTGAGCCAGCCCTGTGTCAGTGGTTAGAGCATCGGCCTGCCCACCGGGGCGGGGTGGTGAGAGGTGGGTTGTGGGTTCAATTCTTGGTCAAGGGCATATACCTGGGTTGTGGGTCCCATCCTGCCCCTGGTTTGGTCCCAAGTGGGAGGCAACCAATCAATGTATCTCTCTCACATTGATGTTTCTCTCTCTATCTCTCTCTTTCTCTCTCTCTCTCTCCCATTTCCCCCCTCCCTTCCACTCTCTCTAAAATCAATGGGTAAGGATTTAAAAAAAAAAGAAGAAGCCAAACCAGATCCCAGGAGCCAAAAATGTTTTCTCCGTTCTTTGTATAATTTGTGTTTTTTCTCTTATAAAATATGTCTTTCTTTACCTAAAAGTATTACTATTTGTTTGCATTGGTTTTCATATCTTCTTGGACTATGCATGTGGTAGGTTGAATAATGCCCCTCCCCTCAGATGCCCACTTCTTAATCCCTGGAACCTATTAATATTACCTTCTGTAGCAAAAGGGATTTTGTAGATAGATGTGATTAAGTTAACCATCTTGAGAAGGAGAGAGTATTCAAGTGGGCCCTAAAGTTAATCACAGATATTCTTAGAAAAGAGGGAGGCAGAGGGAGATTTGACCACAGAAGAGGAAGTAGGAGATATGACCATGGAAGCAAGAGGTTAGAGTGATTTAAAGACGGGGTCCTGAGCCAAGGAATGCAGGTGGCCTCCAGAAGCTAGAAAAAGCAAGGGCGAGGATCTTCCTCTAGAGCAGCGGTTCTCAACATGTGGGTCATGACCCCTTTGGCCTAAAGGGTCACCTAAGACCATCCTGCATATCAGATATTTACATTACTATTCATAACAGTAGCAACATTACAGTTATGAAGTAGCAACGAAAATAATTTTATCTTTGGGTCACAACATGAGGTACTGTATTTAAAGGGCCAGAAGGTTGAGAACCACTGCAGAGCCTCCAGAAGGAACCAGACCCTGCTCACTCCTTGACTTTGGCCCATTGAGGCTGATTGAGAATACATTTGTGTTGTTATAAACCACCAACTTTGTGAGAATTTATCATGGCGGCCACAGGAAATTAATGCAATGCTGTTGAAGGATCCACTTCTTCATTGAATTGATCACACTTATGCCTCAAATAGGCCAAAGTTCTTATCAATGACTGGTGTACAGATATTGAAGGAAAAAAGAAGTCTTCTATCTGTTTGGGTTACCAAACTGTGAGTATTGAGGCTATGGGTAGATGTCCGAATCAACACATATTGCCTTTTGTTTTCAGTAGAAGAAGAGAAAGCCACGTCAGAGTTGAAAATGGAGCCCGTGTGGCACAGGGGAAGAGAGCAAAGAGCCTGGATCCAGCTGTGCTTTAAGCTAGATTCTAGAATTCTCAAACAGCAAAGTAATAAATTTTCACTTAAGTTGCTTTGAGATGGGCTTCATTAATCTATACCCAAGAGTCCTGGCTAATACAGAGATTCTTACATTTCATGCTGCTAAGATTTACATATGGAGTGCAGTTAATTAAATGCCATTTCAAGTTTCACAGTAGATTCTGTGATAAAGCTTGAAGGAGTAAATTGATTTTGATCAAATTATAGCCAAACAACCAAGGGGTCTGGGCTGCCTGTCGCCACTTGAACTAGTTAAGTAGAGACAGGGTTGAATCATATATGAGTGTTTATTCCAATAATGCTGGCAGTATGGGAGAGCAGTCGATCACCCACAAAAATCTGCTCTGACCCCCTTGCCAGTTGGCTGGTTATATACACAGGAGGGAGAAGATAGCTACGTGCAGCTGTGAGCTACAAGTATAACATGGAAAGGGGAGGGTAGAGTCTGCAGCCCGGCCTTCAGGAGCTCAAAGTCTGATTTTAAGGTGGCTAATATTCTATGATGTTACAAACAGCTCAGCCCATTCCTGGGACCAGAGAGGTCATTGTTCCTGAGAAAAACTCCCAGAGGGGGTCAGGGTCCAGGTGCAGCAACCAAATCAAAGCATGTCCTGTCCTTGGTCTGTTCTCAAAAATGTATTTATTTTCTGAGTAATGGACCCATCGAGGCATCTTATCTTTTTACAGCCTTGTTTCATTCTCCAGTTTCCCAGGATCTGTAAGAAAACTTCTTATCTGTAGTTAGTGAGGTGAATAATTATTAGACAACTGGGGCTCTATTCTCATTACATGTCCTTCCCCGCTTTCAAAATCAGATATTCTACTACTAAAGACTATCTTTTGATTTTATCTTGACTTAAAGTTTTATAAATTCCAACTGGAAACCTGGCATTGG